CCCTGCTGTGGGGCGTGGGGCTGACCCTTCTGCGGGGTGTGGGGCTGACCCTTCTGCGGGGTGTGGGGCTGACCCTTCTGTGGGGCGTGGGGCTAGCTCTGCTGCGGGACATGGGGTGTGGGGCGTGGGGCTGGCGTGGGCCTCGCGTGGCGCCAGCGTGGGGCTGCTGTGGGGCTGTGGCCACGGACCTGCCCAGACAGGAGCCAGCAGTGACTCACAGGAATGTGCTGGCAGGACACGGTGTTCCGGCAGCGCCCAGTCCGCAGCCCCACATCGTGGCACGCTGCTACCAGCCCCGTGGCCAGCACCCCTGAATAGCCCTGTTCCGCTCGTGGGGTGCCCGGGAGCAGCGCAGGGAAGAGGCAGGACACTGGGGTGTCCCCGAGCAGGACAGTGCCCTCAGGGACACTGGGGACAGGCCACAGAGCTGCACAGCCCCTGATGGGGGCCTGTGTGATGCATGGCCCATCCCACCCATGTCCCCATGGGAAGCAGATGAGAAGCCAAATTTATTTGCCCCACTCGGTTGGTGCCCTGCGCCGGGGTGGCCATGGGGTCCTGGGGAGCCATGGGCTGGGGGTGGCAGTGGTGGCACTGTGGGTGCAGATGGCACAGCAGACGCAGAGCTGGGCCTGGGCCAGCGCTGCACAGTGGGGTGTGTGTCCCTGCGGCTCTTGTCTGCTGCTGGGGTGAAACGGAGGGACGGGGCACAGGGACCCCGATGTCCTGGCACCCCAGCGCCTTACCGAGCTCCGGGGCACGGGGGTGGGTATTGCAGGAGTGCTTGGTGCTGGGTTTGAGGTGGGGGGCACAGCGGGTGCTGACGGTCTTCTTGGGGGTCAGGCACTGCGTGTACCATGCCTGGGTGCCCTTGGGTCTGCTGGGGAACACTGTGGGGACACAGGGACTGTGCTGAGGATGGGGTGGGGTGAGGAGGTGTGAGGCATCCCATGGCCAAGGAACAGTGGGGCTGGGGACATGGGGAGGACCCAATGACCTGGGATATATGGGGGACACTGGGAGGACCCCAGGGATCCATAGTGAGGGGGGCACAGGGGGGTGACACCTCGCAGCCAGGCAGCTGGGGCAGTGCACAGGGCACTCGACGCTGGGTGCAGGGACCTGGGGGGCTTCAGGCAGCGATGAATCGCCGGCAGAGGTGGGGGGGGTTGGCCACAGGGCTGCAGGGCCAGGAGCTGCTCAGGGGCTGCATTCATCCGCGCTGGGGGCCCCGCCAGGGTCCCCTTGGCAACCCCGGCCCGG